GCCAGCCGCCGGGAAAGGCTGCGTCCCGAGCCCGCTTCATTTCAGCCCGCGCCATCGAAATTCAAGGGGACTCAGCGTACACGACCCGGAACGAGTCAGAGCCAAAGCGATGTGGTTTGGAATGAATAGGGACCACTTTTCTTTAAACAAAAAACAAACAAAAAAAGCACTCGTGTACCTGTTCGCAATCTGTCAGGCACAGGAGCTTTGGGGATGAGAAGAAGCGGAAACCCGAAGGGCTGCTGAAATGAAGGCGCTCCCTTCCCAGCGAAACAGACTCATCCGAGAATGCGAGAGCGCGAATGCGTCTAGGTGATGAACGCCACAAGGGTGAGAAGTGGCTTCCTCGTGTGTGTTTGTGTGTGTGTGGACTTTCCCAGGTTTTGGAAAAGATTTTCCAAAAGCATAGGATGAAAACGGGAAAGGAAGGAAAGAAAGGGGGATTCCCACTACAAAAATACCTGCTTAGACTTGGAACCGAACATCGATTGTGTAAATTAATCACTCCTTAACCGTTCAAACTTCCAGGTCCAAGCAGGTTTACTGTGAGTATTCCAGGGATTGCTCACTCCTTCCCCCCTTAAGCAAATGGTTTCATTGCAATTAAACATATAACCATTCGTGGTTGTAGTGTGACAGTAGAGTCTGAACTGACAAATCTTCTGTAACATAGAACATGGATCTACTGACAAGAATAAGCTCCACTGTACTGGTTTAAGGTGCGTGCGTGCGTGCGTACACACACACACACACACACACACGAACGTTTTTGAAAGGACACACAGCTGTGTGTTCATTCAAAATTGCCTATCAAGATTTTGAGGAGACCTAATATTACCTTACATATTCTTACATTTCTAGACATGCCCCCTTTGGGGCAGATACAGGAAGACAGCATCCAGAAATTATGTTGAATAATAGATTGCAAATTAGAGAGTTGATCTCGACTGATACAAACTACTGAAGGGAATAAATGCCAAATGCCTCAAAAATCTCTTTGGAGGTTCAGTCAGACAGAATCCTTTCAGAAGCAGTTGTTTTATACACAACAGTGAGATAACAATATGAACTGTAGTAGATGTCTATGAATCTAACTCATATAAAGATAGATATACAGTTCTCTTTAGGTCTCAAGGTTGACCTTTATATAAATTAGACATGTTTATTTCTGAGTAATAATGGCTTGACCTAAGTATAATGTGAAGTGGTCATTCCAATCCATGGTCCATATCCACCGAAAACCTATATTGTTCTACTCAGCAGAAGGCCAACCTGTATCGGTGGATTTAGTCCCAAATAAAATGTACATAGCGTTAACCCAAGACTTGGAGGTTCAACCCGAAATAAAGTTAATCATATTTATTTGCAAGTAAGTCCCATTCAGTTCTTTGGGACTTAGATGGTAATCCTTTCTCCTTGGGCTGTACTGCATATTCTGACTCAGAAGTTTCTAAGCTATTGCACACATGAACTGTAACTGCAATTCAATTCTATGCACATTCATTCTAAAGAACACCCAGCTAATCTCAATGGAACTTACTCTTGAGTAAGCACACACAGAGTGGTGTTGTCTTTCAGCAGCATGTATATATGTTTAGCAGAACTCCTGGCTTCAGTGGAGCTTATTGGAAAGATGCTGTCTTGGAAACTTGCATGGGGGCTTACAATGAATTGGTTTCAGGTTTTCTAAATTCTGTGCTCTTGGGATCACACTGATTTCCCTAACACTTTAATCTCCGATTCTGGGTATCTTGTTATTCCAAGAGCCCACTCCCCCCCGGTTTTAAAGTAATTTTCAGCAAGGAAAGTTCAAGCTACTGCAATTTCACACAGATACATAAACTCTACTTAAATCACTGTGATACCCCTGGAAATTGTTGCTCTGACTGCTTTCACCTTAGTGCCCCACGCTCCTGTTGGGTTTGCTGCCAGGCTAGCGTCTCTCCCTTGCAAACACAAATATCGGCCCAGAAGATGAAATATAAAAATTGCCCCCATTCTTTGCCCTCTCTATATCAAAGCCGCAAATACCTGCCACAGTCTGATTCGCGTTCCCCAGGAGTGGAGAATTGCTTTTTGTTGATATTCGTCTGCAATTTTCTACCTTTCTAATTTGTAACTACGGAAATAACGGATCGGGTCCACAAGCCACTATCCCGCGTTGCCTCTGCAGAATAATGGTGAAGAGGGTCCCAAAAGTGAGGGGCTGGGGAAGGCTAGTGAATGGATTGGGGCGAGAAATCCCTTACCTGCGGCCTCGGGGCTGGAGGTGTCGGAGATGGTGTGAACCTCCAGCCGATGCTTGGCAGAATCCAGGGCCGATCGCGGCTGGCCAGGCGTCAGGGCTGAAGCCATAACCAGGGCCGGCTGGTGGTGGTGGTGATGGTGGTGGTGGTGGTGGTGGTGGCAAGACGAGGAGGCGGAGGAGGAAGAAGAGGACGAAGGGGAGGTGGAGCAAAGCTTATTCCCGGCTCCCAAACGCTCCAGGCTGAGCGGTTCTTTCAGGCAGTTCATCGAGCGTCGCCAGCCAGCCAGCCCGGGCGGCCGGGGGCTGCACGCTGGCGGACAAGAACCCCGGTGAATGAGAGTGCGCCGCTGTGAGGGGCGGAGGCAGCCGCAGCCGGTGGCCCAGGAGCGACGGCTGGTAAACGCCCCCCGTAGCCCAGAATTG